GTCGTTTCGCGTTATTAAACACGAAGGCGCGCTATAAAAGGAGCCTTAGGTCCCCCTGGACCATTTGTCAATCAACCGTCGTGTGATGTAGAACTCTTAGAGTCAAGTCAGCTTGGGCTACAGCTACTCCAAAGCAGTAAACAGCGGGCGCATTCCTCAAAATTGTTTTATGTCTTCCTCACAATACAAGAATTTTTGAGATTTGTATTTCCTTTCTCCAATGGAAGCTGTCTTTATTTGTGGCGGTAAATTTGAGATCGAACTAGGTGGTTCGTACGTTACCTCATGCCACCATGCTGGTGGAAGTAAACAATAGATATCTCATTAGCTCCTTTTGTTCGTCTACCAGCATTTAAATTTGACCCGCACACGTCAAAGGTGAGTGAGAAATGAGCCTCGGTCTTCCCAGGGAAGACTTCCTTATATAGCGCGCCTTCGTGTTTAAAGAGCTGGCTTTGTCTAAGCAGCTGGATCTTTTTGTTCTTTTGGATGATAACTATATCAAAGTATTCTGTCAAGAATTTTACTAATTCCGAGCAAACTACCAAAAATTGTAACAGGAAGGGATTGAGAGGAATTTCTGTGCTTCAAAGACTGAAAAAAAAAAACATTCAAGTCTGAAGTTGTCCATCCTCGCATTTTTAAACTTTATATATATATTGTGGGAGGAAAAAGACAAGTAAACTACAAGTTCATTCCTACAAGCCTGTTTCGTGGTCCACGAAAACAGGCTTGGACCACGAAACAGGCTTGTAGGGATGAACTTGTAGTTTACTTGTCTTTTTCCTCCCACAATATATACTTCGCTCTACTTCTATGTATTGAGCACTGTTCTACGAAAATCAAGTCACACTTTATATAGATATATATGAATATTTATATCCAGTTAGATATAGCTGTTTGGCAATACAAAGCTATGCTTTTACGTCCAAATCGAGCACTCTGCTGGGATGAGTCATGTCGTGCAATTGGCGCGAAGCTAACTAGTTACTAGTTTGAGCTCGTTTGGCCCAGAAGGCCGAAACAGTAGTAAGTCAGACGTGCGATTTTGAGCTCCGAGGATACGTGCGTTTCTTCACTCGATTTGCTTGCTTCTACTTTGCCTTTTGAGCGCATTTTGCTTCCATTTTATTTCATCCTTTATCGAGAAATCTCTTCTGAAGTTATGGAAATGAATACTAAAACGTCAAACGACATTTTTTCCGCCGCTACCGATACAAGTATTCAGGACAACGAGTCTTCGCAAGATTCAAGTATAATTAATGGTGACCGCCTAACTATACACCCTACGAGCGGCAAGAACGGTTGGAACTACTGGTACAACGACAACGAGAATGCAGGCCGCGACAAGAACAATCTATCTCAAGAGAAACCACAGTAGGGACTTTAAGCAAAACCACGACGGCTACGGCAACGAGAACGTGGAGAAACAATATATCTAGCTCCGGTTGTTCAAAGGGTGGATAACGCTGTCCAACGGATAAATCGCTATCCAGCGGATAAGTGTCACCAAAACGTACTGCGCTATCCACTGGATAGATATTTATCCAGTGTATAGCGTTATCCATCCTTCGAACAACCGGGACTTAATTGGCAGAACAATAGCGCAGCACGTGCATTCTAAATCTTTGTACATTTCTTGGCCGTCCTTTGCAAAACAACAACGTGAAATCACCAAACTTTGCGTCGTCTGCGAAGCGAAACCGCGGCGGCATATTATTTTAATTTACATTTGGAACTCAACGCTACTTTTATGCGATATGTTGAGTTTGAGGTCTGGCACGCTATGAGACGGTAAACACATGCAGCAATTTTCGAAATTCTAACCAAAAGTAGAAACTCATTTTTTAATCGACGTCTTCCGTGACGTTGCCATCCTGACTGTTTAATATTAGGGACTTTAAGCAAGCCACGACGGCTACGGCAATGAGAACGTGGAAAAACAATAAATCTAATTGGCAGAACAATAGCCCAGCACGTGCGTTTTAAAACTTTGTACATTTCTTAGCCGTCCTTTGCAAAACAACAAAGTGAAATCACCAAAATTTGCTTCGTCTGCGAAGCGAAACCGCGGCGCAAGTTATTTTGATTTACATTTGGAATTCAACGCTACTTTTATGCGTTATGTTGAGTTTGAAGTCTGGCGCCCTATGAGACGGCTAACACATGCAGCCATTTTCGAAATTCTAACTAAAAGTAGAAACTCATTTTTTAATCGACGTCTTCCGTGGCGTTACAGTCCTGACTGCTTAAAGTCCCTAAAATTCCTAATGCTACATCCACCTATATACAAGTCCTTTAGGGCTGACTTCCTGTTTCATTTCGTGAAGATTAGATCGATTTCTTTGTCACTGAACCAAGATGTACCCCATGGCCTTGATGTGTTTGTCTCCATTATCTGAACGGTGCTTTGCTTCGTTCCCACACGTGTTGGAGTCGTCTCCATACCCACCTGTGCCAAAGCCAATTCTGGAATCACAAGTGCCGCAATTTTTATGTTCGTTGGAGATGATACCGATTCTAGCTTTGGAATTATTTTTCTTCATCGAAGTGGGATTGAACCCTTCTTTGTTACAATTTAATTGCAAGGATGCATTGAAGCCAATCAGCAACTTCCACGTGTTACGACCCAGTGACGTGTCACGATATTGTCCGTCAGCGATCAGTGAGTACAAAGAGCTGGCTTGCTTTTTGATGAGAATGAACCTGGACAGATTACCAATCTTCATCCCTAGACAGATCTCAGAAAAGGATGTGTTCCAATAGGTCGGAAGCTTGGTCTCTTGAAAGTCAAACCCAGTCTCCCCTCCTTGAGGATTGAAGTCACTCATGTTACTCCAGAGTTGCGAATCAAAGTGGAAGGTTGACTATGTAGATGGAAAAGTTGAAATGAGTTGAATCATAATTGGATTCATATGCAGATAACAACTAAAACAAGTAGAATTGTTCGATATATTCTATAGTGAGTCTGAGGAACGTGGTTTGTTTAGTTTACGAGAATTTAAAGCCCTCGGCATTGAGTCTCTAACATATTTTTTTCGGCTGCTTATTCTGGATCGTTCTTTCAGCTAGGTTGCTAAATTTAAAGGTTAAAGATATAGCCAGGTTGCAATGAAAATCGTCTGAGATCGGTTATGACTTTGTTCTTTATGACTTTGCAACTTTACACTTAGTTCACACAGCCAATGTTTGGGGGATCCGCCTTGTTCACGTCACCCTTTGCATGGAAGATTAAAAAAAGCAAAGTGTCATCCATGTAGTAATTGCTTCTGCATGGTAAATATTATAGTCATAGTTTTGCTGTCCTTCGAAATGGTACCAGAAGGGAAATTGGAGAAAGTCCTAATGCTACAACGGCCGAAGTCTGCTTTCTTCGGGCCGGACCCGAGAACTTCGGCCCGCTCGGTTTTGGATGCCCTGAAGGAAGCCGGAGTTCAAGATACTGACATACAGTGTCTTCAACGAAAACTGAACGGTGAAGTAGTGATGACTTTTAAAAATCCTAACGCGAAAGAAAAGTTCCTACAACTAAACGCCCTAAAAGTCAACAACACTAATTATGCACTTCCAGACATCGCTAGACCTCTCACCTTTCTCACTATTTATAACACTCCCTTTGAACTTTCCGACTTGGCAATTATCCAACGTCTCACACCTTTCTGCGAAGTTGTTAAGAGCAGATCCGTACTAGAATCAAACAAAATCGCAAATCTTCGGCAAACCTGAAAAAAGTCAAATTCACTCGTCTTTTGCATATAGATAGCCTTTAGTAACTATACGAATGCCATGCAGTTTTTCCTTGAAATATCTGTTAATTCCTGAGAAAAACGATGGAAGCCGTTTTCAACTTAGGCACAATTTGGCGATCCCAAACACGTGCAAACAGGGTGGAAATTAGTGATGATTCTCTCGACTCACTTGTCAAAACTGCTTCGCTAGAAAAAGCCGTCATAGTTCCAATTTGTTGTATAACTTACCATAGTCTAAACACCACGATTTCATAAACATTAGATTTACCTGAGTATTGAAGAGAAGTAAAAAAGTTACGGCTCTCCCGTGCTTCGTAAAACGGTAGGCGAAAAATAACGATAATTTTGAGCCTGTGCCTTTGTTAGAATTTCGTAAGATTAAGATGGACAATACCCGAGTTAACGATATTTCAAAATATGTAAAGTTTATCTTGGGGAAATGAATGTGGGATTTTTAAGAATTTGTTGAGAATCGTCAACGGAATACCTAAAATCACGTCATGATGTGTATGCGTGACCATTAACAAACAAATCGTTTTTGTTTTAGAAATCATGGCAACTCAAAAAGCGTAAAGAACAATGCAAATATATTGACCCCAACCTGGATATGATATTCTGGAGTTTTCAAAGCACTTCACTTTACGGTTTGGCTAATCTCATTCGTGAGGTTTATCATGAACAGAGGAGCTCGCCGCTGCAGCCACGATCAAAACCAACTTAGTTTTCAACGAATTCTTCGTAGTTCACTCTTCACATTTGTACTCTTTATACTGTTGATACAAATTTTTCTGAAAATTCTGAAGGAAACCATAAAAGGGCTGGCAATAAAGCCAGCCAGTTCAAGCATGTGTTCCCATGCAGTTTACTGTGAACCGTTTTGAGACTGTAAGCAAAATTTGCATATCAGGCTGAACAAGAGACAGTAATTGGTACACAGGGTGGATAAGGTATTCTCAGTGGCCAAGATTGGGTCTTTTAACTATGTCTCTTTTCTTTTGTTTTTGACGATCGTTTTTCCGAAGTCTTCAATTAAATCAGCTCAAAACAGGGAAGAGGTCTCGATGGTTTTTAATTGACACAACTACCCTGTATAATTACTCGGGCTTCCGTAGGAAAGCCCGAGTCTTAAAATGCAAGCCGTTCAAGGTCGCCAAAAGGGGGGTCATGGTCCCAGGCGTTCCTTGGGTAGACCGCGGAAACTGGGGATGAGAGTGCGACAACCTATGTTATCATGTGCTCGCTCTTCGTAAATAACATAACTTACAGAATGCTGTGTTTTGTGAAGACCGATTTTCAAAGATTCCTGTCTTATACGCTCATCGCTCACGCAAACACACACGTTGTTCGTGGAATGCCCACGCTAAATTANAAACCACCGGTATCCTATTAGTTCGTCTTTCAGTCTTATTTCTGTACCACCACCAGTGAAAACACGGATCATGAATCCGCTGATCTCTTGACATAAACGCGCTACAATATATTTAATTGAGAAGTCAACGATTGCAAACTTTACCACCTTCATGGAAATGGAATTTTTTAGTATCTCTGAATGTAAAAGCTGACACTGAACAAGGCCTAGTCTGGGACCTTAAGTTGCCTTAAGTCGCCTTAAGTCGCTTTAAGTCGCCTTACTTAACCGTTAAGTCGCTAATGGTTACGCAATGTTATGAGGATTCCACCCTTCCCAACTGGCCCCATTCACCTCACTTTAATCATAAGGATTAGAGGAGGAGGTATGGTGGATCAAAATGAGTCCAGTTCTGGTGTCTAGTATTGGACCATTGCATTGTGTTCTTGGGTAAGATACTGTAAGCTCAAAGTGCCACACCTTTTCCAGGGGGGAGGTAACCCTGCAATGGAATATGAGTTTAATTATTGTTATTGTGAGGCGGGTAATGGCTTTCATATTCATGGAAATCCCATATGAAAATAGTAATGGACCTGTCTAACCCCTGTGCAGGCATGAGTAATTCCTACAATGTAGTCAATGTAGGAATCATGACAATGTATACTCTTCCATTTTCTTACTGACACAGTATTTCTGTTTCTACAAAATTTCTTTCTTGTATTTCATGATGAAACAGTTGATAAAAAGGTTGACACTGTATAATGTTATCAGGATATAATAGATATTGAATCATCGAACCTACAGTACCAAATCATCAAGGTAAAACGATAGAAAGGTATTCTGGAGAAAGGCTCAATTCTTGCCCCTAACTGATACCTTTAGCAGTAAAAATAATATTATCAAAAGTCAACTAAACTAAACTGAAGCTAAAGTTTATCCATTTAGCTTATCCAGAATAAAAGAGTGACAAAAGTGAGCCATTTCTCCAGCATAAACATATTGATCTGTACTAGCTACTTCCACCATGGTATTCGACCAACTGATAACATTTGAACTCTGTAGCTCGACGAACCTACTAAAGGGGAAATATTTATATATCTTAAGACTTTGAAAGTCTTTTGGTACATTCACTCTTCGTCAGTTTGATGATCAACATACATGAACCACTTCTAAGCCGAGAAAAGCCTTTTACAGTAACCATGGCCGCCAATCGTATTTGATCACTTGACTTAAGTTTTGTCTAGTGACCAAAGTGCACGCGAGAACAATATGCACGCGTGCCAGCTGAAAATTGTACAGAGATTCTTTCCAATCCACATGCGTAGAAAAAGTCCGTCGTGTGTCTATTGACTGGTTACGTGCTTGCATTGCGGAAATGAAAATCCTACCAGTGACATAATTCGAGGTAAAGTAAAGGAAATTTTTCGGTAATAGAAGATAGTAAGGGCGTACTTGCTGAGAGAATCCCTCTAATGTTGTCTCGCTCCTAACTTCGAAGCATGGAAACTATTTAGCGGCGCAAAGGTTACTGGGAGAATTAAAATGGTGGAGACTATAAAGCCAGTTATCAGCTTGGAGAATTCCGTCGTGACTCCTTAGTTTCTCGACAGTTGTAAGGTAACAATGAATGCTTTTATACCTGTAATACTGCCACCAGGTTAAAAATCTTCTCCTCTTTTTCTTTAAGCCTTTTGATCTCCTGAGGAACATGGGGCGTAACAACACTCCTCCAACGCACTCGGTTCTGTGCGGTCCTCCTGAGCTGTGCCCATGTTGTTCCAATGGACTTCACCTCTGAGTCATACTTATACACATTTATTTATACACGTTTATTTAACAATAACAATAATATTAAATCCTTATTCCCCTGGCTCCGCAGATAGCAGTGCTAATCGAGGCGGGCCAGGATAATCAGTAAAAGAAGAGAAAAATACACACAGTTAAAACTACAGATGAATAAATAGATGGTGAATACGAAAAAATTAAGTCTACAGAAACAAGTATGTGGTTAATTCAAGTTGACAGCGCATAATGTTGTGAGAGGTGAATACATAAGATAAAATGGATAAGGTAGGATCGGCGAGACAAAGGTGATAGCTACTAAGAGTATTTACTAACTTCAGAGATTATCGATTCTAAATCTTCGTGGGAGTCTTCTAATTCTAATATATTGAACAAAATCGTACGAATTTTTCTTTTAAAGATGAATTTTTGTAGTGTTCGGAGCTTAGTTAGTATCTCATTCCACAGTTTTGCACCGATTCTTGAAAACGATTTTCGTTCAATTTCAAGTTTTGATTTTTTAATGTAAAAGTTGTTGGAGGCTGAAGATCACGTATTATATGAATAAATTTTTGCTCTGGGGATGAACAAATCCTTTAATTGTGAAGGAATAACATCATTATTTACATCATGCATTGTCTCAGCTAGCAATTTATAATAACAAAAGTGAATAGGTAAAGGAACAGAGGAATGGCGTGATCATACCTGTTAGCTCGGGGGTGGAAGCGGAATAATTGGATCTCACTTATTCATTATTCCTTTCATTTTTTTCGATGTTATTCATTATTCATTTTTTAATTTTTCTCGTTATTCATTATTCCATATTCGAGTTTTTTAGGCAGTTTCTAATTCGCTTTATTGTGAAATACATGATTTCACTTCAATTAAAATATGATTTAAAACCGTCAGCGTCATGTTCAATCTAATTACCGTATTTATTTACTTAAATCCAGCCTGAGGTTTATTTAGACATCAGCCTTATAGGTGT